GGCTGGGCAATCGCGGTTGCTGCGGCTGCTGCTGCTGCAGCGGCCGCCGTCACCGACTGCTGCTGCTGCTGCTGCTGCTGCTGCTGCTGCTGAGTGGCTGACGGCTGCTGCTGCTGAGTGGCTGACGGCTGCAGCACCGATGGAGATGCAGCAGGCTCCGCTGCTATGGACCCATGCCCACAGCTGGCCTCAAGGCGCGCCAACTGCTCCTGCAGCAGTGTATTCTCACGCCGCAGCTCCGCTTCGCGCTTCCTGCTGTCCGCAAGCTCCTCTGCCAGCCGAATGTTTTCGTGGCCAGCCGCCAACGCGCGCCGCTGCCACTCTGCGCACCGGATGAGTGCATCTGCCTCGCTGTGCGTCAGCGTGCCTGGCTGCTGCTGCTGTTGCTGCTGCCGCGGCTGCTGGGGGCCCCCTGCCAGCTGCTGCAGCTGTGGCGGGCGCGGCTGCTTCAGCGAGGGCGAGCGTCCTTGCTCGCTGCTGCCATCCCACCTCCGCTCTTCATCCTCTGCGCCCTCCCTCTCCTCACCCTCCTCGCCACCCGCCTGCTGCATGCTGCACACCGCGTCCCACTTGCTGCTCATGGGCTCCAGGCCTGAGGAAAGCAGGGGGCGAGGGTAAAAGAACGTGTGTTTGTATTTGTGTTGTTTGAAAGCCATCAAAGAGCATGTCATCGGTGATCAACCGCTCCAACCCCTCCCCCACATGTGCAGCTAGTGGCATGTGCAGCTCCTAAGTATCAGACAAGGGTCGCTCCTTTCCCGGCTCCCCATTCACCTTTCTCTTTAGCCTCCTTGCACACTGACTGGTACCCCACCAGCGGTGAGGTGAAGCTCCTGTCTGCTGCTGCTGCCGCGCCTGCTGCCCAGGCACAGCAGACATGGCTGCAGAGCTAGGTGGCCGTGCACCGCCCCAAGGGCTATCAAAGCAATGTGTGTGCCGTATGTGACTTTTTGGTAGCGTTGCTAGGACCGCGTCACGCGGCAACCACTTGCCAGGAGCGAATGAAGTGAACGGAGCGAATGGTGCCTTTCCGGGGAGGGTGCGTATGTGGGTGGCTGACAGCTAAGATTGTAGGAATTTATGCCAGGAGCGGATTAAGCCGACACTGGAACGAGCTAGTGGTCTTGGTTGTGCAGCACAAGCGAATGAAGCGAATGAACGGCCGGGCCGGGAAGCCAACTCCGCGAAGAGCAACCTAGCGGGCTGTTATACAAGCTGCATTCGCTCCTGAATATATACCTTACTTAATGGTCAGGCACAGAGCGCCCATCATGGCCCCTACAGCCCGCCCAAGTGAACGGGCTGTCCCACACACACCCAAACGCACCCACACACACACGCACACGCACACGCACACGCACACGCACACGCACACGCACACGCGCACACACACACACACACACACACACTGCCTCTGACGCACAGATCCTGGCAGCCATGGCCACCCTGCCCGAGGCGGAGTCCCTCAGCTGGATGGGTCTCAAGAGCAACCTGGGCCTGGCCTCAGGGGCCGACCTCTTTGGAGCCATAGAGCAGGTGGAAGGCAGGGGGGTGTGGGGCCAAGGAGAGGGGCGCCACACGGCACCCTGGGGGAACCCTGGGGGAGGGGGGGGAGAAGAAGGGGGGAGCAGTGAAACGGCTGAAGGCTGTGAGGCAAAGATAGCACTTGCAGGCAGGTGTTTACAGCGACGGGCGTCGTGGGCTGCAACACAAGCGTGTGCCAGCTTTGACAGGTGTTCAGAGAGTGCTGGGCGCCTTCACATGACTCACACTCATCCCTTGAATGTCTCTCCGTCTGCGGCACTCCCGCTAAGCATCGCCACCGCCCGACCCCCAGGCCGTCGCGCAGCGCACCGGCGTCGCGGCACCAACGCTGGGTGATGTGGAGGCTGTCAGCGGTGTGCGCGTGTTCATATCCACGACCAGCCTGGCGCGGCGCGCCCCCCTCTACCTTGATAGCAGGACACATGCGGGTGAGGGCGGGGCGCCGCCAGCAGACGCCCGGCTAGGCACGCATGCACGCACACGCACCAGCCTCGAAATCACAAGAACGAGTTCAAAATTTCATGGCTGGATTGGTCTCTACAACGCACTCCTCTTGCCCTTCCCCCCGCATCCCTGCCAGGCATGCGCGTGCGTGACGCCCTGCGCGCCAGCTCGGCCATCCCCTTTTACTTCTCGCCCGTCAAGTCGCCCTTTGCGGCCGACGACCTGCTGGTGGACGGCTGCATCACAGACTGTGGGTGGCGGCTCATGGGGTGGGGCCGGTCAGCAGTGCCACATCAGGTCGCTTGGTGCTGCAAGCAGGCGGCGTATCGAGTTCCCAACTGAGCACCCCCCTTCCTTTCCCCCCCTGGCCTCGCTGCGTTGACGCATTCAAGCTATGACCCATGTCTCCTCTCCCAAGTGAGCGCGCCCCTCCCTCCCCCCCTCCTCCCACCCCTAACTTTTGTGCAGGCACCCCCGTGGGCGCGATCCTGGGGGCGGGCGGCGCCGGCGAGGACGGCGGCGAGGTGGACCCCTCGTCAGTGCTGGTGCTGGCCGTGCATGACGCCGCGGGGGCCGCGGGGGTGGGGGCGGCCAGCGTGGCGTCCGACCTCAACGGGCTGGTCAACGGCCTGGTGGCCACTGC